TCTACGTTATAAATGAAAGGACAAGTTTTGCATCGTGAGCGAGCGCATTTAAAAAGTTCCGGATTGGTCATTGGTTTGAAATGAACTCCTGACTAAAAAGTTGCCTATGCTTTTGTCACGTTTGAATGAATAAGTGGGGGTTGCGAAAAGATAGTGCCAGTCTCCGAATCGTTTTGGTGTTTAAGAATGATAGATTTAACTGCGTGGTTGTGAGGGTGAAATGTAAGAGTAAATGGAATGCGGTCAGTGTTTTCCTTCTCAGCCGTTTGTAGTGCTGACTGTCGATCAATTTGTTGGGCACGGTGGTGGCCCGCTTGAACGACAGAAACAGGATAGCCACGTTTATCGAAAAACTGGCACATTGCCTCTGATTTTTCGGAAAAATGCAGACATTGGGCACTTTCTGAGTGCGCCATGATGTCTGTATGAGATTAACAGCTTGTTGGTATGTTGCAGACATTGGGCACCTTCTAAGTTCGCTACGATGTCTATGGGATAATCGATATCAACTAGTTGGTATGTTGCAGACACTGAGCACTATCTAAGTGCGCTATGATGTCTGTGTGAGACTCGGTGTCAACTTGTTGGTATATTGTAGACACTGAGCACTATCAAGACACTGGGCACCATCTTGGTGCGCCATGATGTCTGTATGAGATTAACAGCTTGTTGGTATGTTGCAGACATTGGGCACCTTCTAAGCTCGCTACGATGTCTGTGTGAGACTCGATATCAACTTGTTGGTATGTTGCAGACACTGAGCACCATCTAAGTGCGCTATGATGTCTGTGTGAGACTCGGTATCAACTTCTTGGTATGTTGGAGATACTGAGCACTATCTAAGTGCGCTATGATGTCTGTATGAGACTTGATGAAAACTTGTTGGTATGTTGCCGACACTGGGCACCATTTAAGTGCGCCATGATGTCGGTGTGAGATTGGATCTCAGCTTTTTGGTATGTTGCAGGCATTCGGCGCTTTCTAAGTGCGCCATGATGCTGTGTGAGATTGGATCTCAGCTTGTTGGTATGTTGCAGACATTAGGCAACTTCTAAGCTCGCTACGATGTCTGTGTGAGACTCAATATGAACTTGTTGTTACGTTGTAAACACTGGGCACCATCGTAGTGCGCTTTGATGTCTGTGTGAGACTCGATATCAACTTGTTGATCCGTTGCGGACACTGTGCACCATCTAAGTGCGCTATGATGTCTGTCTGAGACTTGATGCCAACTTTTGGTATGTGGCAGACACTAGGCACCATCTAAGTGCGCTATGATGTCTGTGCGAGACTTGATGCTAACTTGTTGGTATGTTGCAGACACTGGGCACCATCTGAGTGCGCTATGATGTCTGTGTGACCCTCGATATCAACTTGTTGGTATTTTTCAGACACTGGACACCATCTAAGTGCGCATAATGTCTGTGTGAGACTTCATGCCAACTTGTTCGTATGTTGCAGACATTGGGCACTTTCTAAGTGCGCTATGATGTCTGTGTGAGACTCGATATCAACTAGTTGGTTTGTTACAGACATTGGGCACCATCGAAGTGCGCTATGAAGTCTGTGTGAGACTGGATCTCAGCTTGTTGGTATGTAGCAGACATTGGGCACCTTCTAAGTGCGCTCTGATGTCTGTGTGAGACTATTTGCCAACTTGGTGGTATGTTTGAGACATTGGGCATCATCCAAGTGCTCCATGGGTCAAGCAGAGGCTAGACTTTCATTTATCAACGACACTTGCTCTTCACCTGTATTTACCTTCTTGAATGCTGAGTTTGTCACCACAAACATGACTGTGCCAGCTAGGAGGATGAGTATGACACTCAACGAATTACCCAATATTCCTACAGGTGGTAGTTTTGAGTAGCTGCAAAAGTTAAGAGTGTAAATATTATCACATTAATGTATTACACTGTCCTGAATGCTACGCGTTCTGCGATGGCCTTTTTTCAATGATCTTAACTTGGCCAAAAAAGGGATTGTTTTGAAAATATTCGCGCCATTTTATCAAAATTAACAAGTGAAGGATTGGTAAAAAGAAAACTAACCACTAGAGGCCAGTACTCCTTCGGTATCAACAAAAAAATCTGTACTTGAATCATTAAAACTACTAAAATCGTCAGTTTATAAGAACTCACTTGGGGTTGAAAGAAAGCTCTTCATTCACTCCCAATAGGCAACTGCCGATGGCCATCATAAAAATAAACACCCCAAAGAACACATGTACTTTAAGGTAAGCTGCGCGAAGACCATCAGGTAGCTTGGGGAAAAGAAAGCCTACAAAACCAAGCAGAATCTGGGGAGAAAAAGATGACTACAATAAAGAAAATAAAATGGTATGCTCTGTGAATCTAACAATTACAGAACTACGTTCTCCTATCTCGTTAAACAGAAGTCATCGAGACTTCGGTCGTCAAGTTGTCAAATGTCAGAAAATAACCGGTTTTAGCAGAGAAAAAAACAGGTACAGCCATTTAAGGGATAAGTAAGCTCTAAAACCATATTTTTTTCAATCTGCATGCAACAGTTGACTATATGTCCATGATAGCTCTTGAGAAAGACGATTTCAGAAGGTTTTCAGTAATCTGGGAATTATTTCGTGTTACAGGAAATTGGGTCGCGGCGCGCATTCCATTAAGGGTGAAAATGGGCCTTTAAGCCAGGGTATCCTATCGATTTACCATTCTGCTTTGAGCTTTATCAAAAATGTTTTATGGTTTTAAAATTTCGTTACGCACTGGTTTTTGTGGTTGTTTATAATTCCAGTAAGACAAATTGGCCCTAACTAAGCCCGCCACCTGTCCATATGAACGTTTGCACATGCACAGACGTTTGACTGCTGTTTTGCCTCGATGAGGAGAAAGAAAATGGCTTTGGATAACTGACCTGACAACCGAAGAGGATGACGGTAGACAATCCACACCAGCTATGTACGCTGTAGAGATTAGCATAGCCCTTGTGGTTGTGGAAGTCAAACACAGCCTTAACACCCCAGACTGCGATTCCAAACGCC